TGGGCGTGGTCTTCTCTGAGGATAGTCATAGCTTAAAAATTGTGGGGGAAGGGGTCACTCGCTCTCTTGTATAGTCAGAGCAGGAGCAAGCAGCAGTTCCCAGTGCCCTCGGGCAGAAAGGCAGGACAACAGCCGGATCAGCAGTGTCTGCCTTGTTCTGTGTCGTGAATGTACCTTATTGATTTCATTCCCTAATAAATTTTACCTGGCCCCCTACCTCACTGTCCCTCATTACCGAACCCGGGGTCCTTTGCAAGAGTAGCAAGCACAGAGCTGCCTATCTTTCCAGCACAGCAGGACTTTTGTTTGTTTGTTTGTTTGTTTGTTTTTCGGTCGCTCACAGCTCATTTGGGTCTAGGCTCTGCTTTTCTCGTTTAACAATGCCATCATGAGCATCTCCTTCCATCTCTGATAACCTGGAAAATGGACTATTAGTGATCGTGTGGTACTCTGTCTGGAATGGACTCTGACTTATTTTTCAGTATCCTCGTACTGGATTTAGGTGGTTCTACACAGCTCCCTCTAGTGCTCAGGTGACCCTGTCCGTTTGTGGAATTGCTGTGTCTTCAGTAAAAGTAAAACACATTTTCAAGATGCCTGGTGGAGAATGACGAGGGGCTCTTCCAACGGTTAGACAAGATGATTGCACGACACAGGAGAAAAAAAAAAAACAGTTTGGAAGTTGGTTGGCAGTCGAATCAGATCTTATTGGCATTTTACTCTCCGTTTTAAAAAATGACAGTTTTTGAACACCCGTTCTTGGGTCCTGTGGGATGCAGATGGAGGCTAAGCAGCTCAGGTGCAGATGGAAGTTGGTCCCCTGGGCCCCCCTCCCCCCTCCCCATCGCAGGACTGTCTGCCCTTGGTCATAGCCTCACCGGTATGCAGGAGTAGCTCCAGGGAGATGCAAATTGCTTCCCTAAATCTGGGATCAAGTTAAGTGAAGGCGAGAATGACATAACCTCAGACCATCAAAATGCGTCGCCAACAGTTTACCTTATGCCGGTGCTGGGGGTATGTGTTGGATGTCTCTAAAGGCCCAGGGCACGGTCTTGGGGTAGTAAGCTACAGGCACGATCGGAACGTCAGACTGTCCACCAGTTGGCAGCACAGGTCTGGCCGTGCATGTTGATATTCTTGTAGAAAAAAACAAAAAACAAACAAACAAACAAAAAAAAAAAAAAACCCGCTGCCACAGGCAACTCCAGAAGTCACTGCTGCTGGTGGGTCCAGGACAGTGAGTGCTTAAGGAGGGGCGGCGTTTGAGTGACATCCTAAACAGTAAATAGGATTGCATCTGTATGCAGGAGGCGGGGTGGTCCCTTAGAGGGAATGGGCTGTGTTTATTCACTTGGTAAACAATTATTGAGCACTTATACTGGGGATACGTAGCCGAATAAGGTGGGTAAATATGCTGTGAGATCAATATGGAATGGCAGATAGGGTTGGGGTTGATTAACTGTGGAGTGTTCCACCATGGAGAAGCTGTGAGAATTTTTTTTTTTTTTTTGCAAAGAGAAAAGATGAAAGGAAGAAGTGCCCAGGGTGCATGCCAAGGACGTAGCATCTGAGAGTCAGAAACCAGGTGACAGGGTTGGACACAGACAGATTCACCTCACTAGAACCTCAGTCCTCACTGCCTGACCCCAGGGTCATTCACTGGAGTACCTGTGAGTGGAGAAGGGACTTCCTTCAGATGATAGTGAGTCACCATGACCTGGTTGTCTTAAAGAAATAGCTCATCTCCCCCGTCAACACAAGATGGATTCACAGGGGCTTGCCCAGATCTTTATGACTAAGCTGTGTTATTAAAAAAACAAAACAAAACAAATTGGGGCTGAAGAGATTAACTCAATGGTTAAGAGTACTTGATGCTCTTGCAGAGGACCCAGGTTCGATTCCCAGAACCCACATGGCAGCTCACAACTGTCTATAACTCAAGTTCTAGGGGCTCCGACTCCCTCCTCTGACCTCCTCAGGCTCATACAAACATTCAGACAAACAAGCACTCATGTACATAAAATAAAAGAACCTAAAACCAAGAATTAAAGGAAAATGTAGTGTCTTTAGATGCGTGAATGGCGGGTGCTGTTTCTTTCTTTACTAGGAAACATTTGTGTAGATTAAAAATGTGAAGTGTCGGAACAAGTTGCATCTGTACGCGACAGAGGGAGACAGGGCAGGAGGGGAAGGGAAAAGGACACAGTAATCAAAGATGCATGGACCTGGACGTGGAAGTGCATTCCTTTACTCTCTGCACACTGGACGCAGAGGCAGGTGGATCCCTGTGAGTTCGAGGCCAGCGTTCCACGACAGCTAGAGCTTCATAATAAAGAGACCCTGCCTAAAATGTTTTTTTTTAAAAGCGGTCTGGAAAACAACAGCGTTGGTCATGGTTTTTACCGTCACATGTTACATGACTGTCACGAACCAGACGTGTTTACTATGCTGTCAACATTTAGCTGAGTCTGCCTTCGAGACAGCCCTATTAATCTCTGTTTCCCAGATGTGCACAGTGCTGCAGAAGTGTTAGCCAAATAAGCCCTGTCCTCCGAAAGCTGTTTTAGTTGGTCGTGGTGCTTATCACAGCAATAGAAGCCAACCAGGATAGTCCCTGAAGAGGTTAGCTGAAGACAGAATAGGATGCCCCTCAAGATAGCTGAGTTCTTAAACACAAGAAGGTTTTGATGTGCTGACGCGCACACAGGACCACGTCCTTGCTAGCGTGCAACTGGGCGACATGGTGTAGCCTGTTGCTTGTCTGCGAGGGTTGGGTGAAGGGGTCTTTTAGTTGCCAGAAGTACAAAAGTCCCCACCCAAGAAAGTAGGGCATCCTGCCTCCCTGTACGTCGCCTCTCACCTCCCTCATCTTTTTTTCTAGCTATTACGCTGTCCTGTATCCAATGGTGTACCCCATGAAGATCACAGGGAACCGGGCCGTGATGGCTCTCGTCTACATCTGGCTCCACTCCCTCATTGGCTGCCTGCCGCCCCTCTTTGGTTGGTCGTCGGTGGAATTTGACGAGTTCAAGTGGATGTGTGTGGCTGCGTGGCACCGGGAGCCCGGCTACACCGTCTTCTGGCAGATCTGGTGTGCCCTGTTCCCCTTTCTCATCATGCTAGTATGCTATGGTTTCATCTTCCGTGTGGCCAGGGTCAAGGCCCGGAAAGTGCACTGTGGCTCCGTGGTCATTGTGGAGGAGGATGCCCAGAGGAGTGGGAGGAAGAATTCTAGTACCTCCACTTCCTCCTCAGGCAGCAGGAGAAATGCCTTCCAAGGTGTGGTCTATTCAGCTAACCAGTGCAAGGCCCTCATCACCATTCTGGTGGTCATTGGCGCCTTCATGGTCACCTGGGGCCCCTACATGGTTGTCATTACCTCAGAGGCACTCTGGGGGAAGAACTATGTCTCCCCAGCCCTGGAGACTTGGGCCACATGGCTGTCCTTTACCAGTGCCATCTGCCACCCTCTGATCTATGGGCTCTGGAACAAGACTGTCCGCAAGGAGCTCCTGGGCATGTGCTTTGGGGACCGTTATTACCGGGAACCGTTTGTGCAGCGACAGAGGACCTCCAGACTCTTCAGCATTTCCAACAGGATCACAGGTAATTTGGGAACCTGTTAGGCAAAGCATCCCTACACCCCCAGGCCGCTGTCACCCGGGGGGTGGGGGGGTCCTTCTCAGTTACTAAGGGTCTGTCATGTCAGTATAGCAGTCCTCAGGATGACTGTGGCCTCAGGGCTCAAGGCACAGACTTCCTGTTGTGAAGGGCCACCCCAGGGTAGCCACAGTGACTCCCAAGCAGCTTTCTACCACTTAGCTGCTGAAGGAGCATGCTGAGGAGGAGGAGGTGCACATTCCCCTGAGAATGGGACATTGTGATTTGCAAATCCATTTTCCGGAACCCTAGTCGGGGCCTCACGGGCTGGAGGGGATAGGCACTTCTTTACTGCAGAAGGGAGAATCTGAGCCTTGGGCCAGGCTGCTTTCTCCTCTGGCAAGCATGCTCCTTCTGTGTCACCTCCCTTGGATGTTCTTTCTGTGCCTCAGTGGCTTCACTTAGCCAGTCCTTCCTCTCAGACACGTCACCTTGAGCTCTCCCTCC